AGAGAAGACCCTCCTAGCTTAATCTTCTAGATCCAACCATTGAAGATATGTATATGTATATATAACTATATGTATATAACAACATACAGTGCTTCATATATGCATCGCCCCGCACATGCATCGTCACAACCATATATACAGGCCGAGACTACTCGATCTCCTAGTCCTAGTCTCTGGTCTGTGTCGTCGTTCGGTCTCCTAGTCTCGTGTTGACGTCGATGACAGGATGATAAAGTCAATAGCGATGGCGACCTGGCCTGCCGAGGGTTTTTTCTCTTTACTCTTCAATTCAAGAAAGGAATGGAGTGCAAAGTGCAACGACTCTAGCGATTTCCCAAGTTGGTTTTCTTATCTTGCGGTTGCACTTTTGCTTTCTTCTGCTTCACTGTTGCAGACAGTAACACAGCCTGCTGCTTCAACTGGAATATTTTGAACGTTGTGTAGCCATCATATATACGTGAGACTGACAGCCAAGGGCTACGACGATGCTATATTGATTGTACTCCTACTTTCTCGTACCTAACTAAATCAATTTCTAGAGTTGTTTTAATAAATCAAGCTTTTTTATATTTTGCTAAATTTATAGAAAAGAGTATAATATTTATAACACCAAATAAGTACATTATCAAAATATAATTTGTAATATATCTAATGATACTAATTTGTAGTTATAAATATTGTTATTTTTTTATAAATTTGTCTAAAATTTCAAATATTTGACATAAGACAACTTTATTATGAAATTGATTTGTTTTTTTAAGAAATCTGGAGGGGCTCTCGCCCCTACAGTGAAATTTATTTAACTAAAACTAGAACACAGACTTACAAACGGAACTTAAGAAACAAAGAAAGAAACAAAGAAAATAAGCCTGAGAACAGAGATTAGACAAGAGAGTTGAACCATTGATCAAAAGCTTGTGAAAATCTTGGGTTCACTCTATGTGTCAGTGGCTGCAATTGAAATCGTGCGTACACTCCCTCCGTTTTCAATGGTTGGGAAAGCATTTAATTGAACATAGATATGCACGGAATCTCTGATCATTATGGGTGTGTTTGTCTGAGGAATGAGATAGGTAGTTTATCATCTACTTATTCCTCACTTTTTTGTTTGTTTTGTGGTATGAAATATGTTGATGTATCATCGTCTCATTCCTCACAAGCTAATAAAGTAAGAATTAGTACTAGTACGATGAATGGAGTCGTTCCACCAAATTTAAGGAATAAACTCATGATACATCACCTTGTCTGGAATGAAGTGGCTCCTCAAACCAAACAGAAACCTGTAACTTTCTCTTCCTACAATACAAGTAGCACAATCAATTGATGTAATATGTCATGGTCGTACCAGAATATGAGTGACAAATATTATAGGGCGTCTTTTTTTTTGCGACATATATTATAGGGCATCTTAGTATTTAAGAAATAAACTCATGATACATCACCTCTATTTCTTTAATTTTATATTATAGGGCATCTTAGTATTTCAAAAAGTTTTTGAGAAACCATACTTTACCATCAATGGAAATCAACGTTTGATGCTACTTTACATATATTCATAATACGACATGCATGACTCTTTTATTAAAGTAAACTTTTAAAGATATTATTATTACTCAAGTAGTGCTGGATCGGGATAAGAATAAGTGGGAGTAAATTCTAATCATATTTTTTAATTTCCTGCTGGACATGCATGAGAGTACTGTAGTTTAGAGTACTCTCTCCATCCCAAAATAAGCCTTCATCTCGCATCCTGAGGAGTCAAATGATTTTAACTTTGACCAAATGTATATAAAAAATATTAATATTGCGATACAAGATAAGCATCATTAGATTAATTACGTCGTATATTTTCATAATAAAACTATTTGGAGATGCAAATGCTGATAATACTTTTTATAAACATAGCCAAAGTTGAGATTGTTTGACTTTTCGAAAAGCGAAATGAAAAGTTATTTTGGGACGGATGGAGTATAATAGCTACTGATGCTCATGGTACTACTACGATACCCTATATATGTGTGCTTGGATCATGAAACACACATGGGTTCCTGTAAAAAAATTTAAAAATAAGTTGCACATTTGATTGTGCTAATTTTCTACCCTCTATACCGTCAAAAAAAAATTCTACCCTCTCAGAAAGCAGCAATGGACACATATATAGCTACCTATAGGTGTCCCCTCCCAACATCACAAATAACACGTGCCGCAATAAGAGGCAACTAATTATATATGAATAGGTGTCCATCTAGAATACATATAAATGGGTACACGTGCTATGTAGTTTCATGAATAGTATCTTTTTTGACCAGTTAGACAACCTTTCGTAAATAGAAATCCTTTCACGGACGATGGCTGTTTATATGAATGGATGCCTACACATGCTATGTATACAGAGTGTAGTTTCTAAAGTGAGAGAAGAGGCTTATATAAAAAAGCAAAAGTGAGAAGAGGGACGTCTCTTTATGCCTAACGATTCGAAATCTCCTAGTCTAATCAACCATGTAACTTGAACAATAACTGTCGAAAATTATGGCCTATTTGGTTGGTACAGTAATTTGTCACACCAAACTTTCGACAAACTATGGCTGCAAACAGAAAATTTAGTGAGTAAAATTGAAGCCACGATTGTGGCAAAGTTTAGCAAGAAAATAAGCCTTTGACATGTGGGACAAGGTGCTAACAAAGTGCCGCACGCTGTAGTTGTGGCAGCGAACCAAACGGTTGCAAAAAAAAACTATGGCATGACTTACCTATGACATGGCACATTGTGATCTAGAACCAAAAACACATAGACACGCTCAGAATGAATAAAATACCCCAAAAATAATGACTTTGACCTGAAACCAATCGGTTGTACCCCTTCCAAAAAAGTACAATTTTAGTCTAGTATTGAATCAAACCGTCATAAATTTAATAAATTTATATAAAACCTAATATTTATAGTACCAAATAAGATCATTTGATTCTTTTTTGAAATATATTTTATAGGACATTTAATAATACCATAAATATTGATATGTAGTCTTTTTGTATTAATATAGTTTATTAAACTGTCGATAGTTTTGCTCAAAATTACTAGAGCTGTGACTTTTGTAGGACAGAGGTATATATACATGAGAAACGTGAAGAAGAAAATAATTATGGAATACAATAAGGTACGTAGAGACGCTTACATACAGTGAATAAAATATCCTGATATTGATAATAATAACAACTTTGACTTGGACGCAATCGGTTGTATCACCTTCTAAAAAGTACAATTTCCGCCCTAGTTCTGAATCAAAACATTTTAAATTCCATAAAGTTTGTAAAAAATCAATATCATTGTCCCAAATAAAAATATTAGACTCATTTTTCATAATACTCTACTCATTTAATGTCATAAATATTGATATATATATATATATGTGTGTGTGTGTGTGTGTGTGTGTGTGTGTGTGTGTGTGTGTGTGTGTGTGTGTGTGTGTGTGTCTTTTTACATAACTTCAGCAAAGTTTTAGGTAGTTTAACTGAAAACAGAGGTGGCAGTATATAGAAACGTGGAATGAAAGGTGAAGAAAAACAGAGTACTAAAACAGAGATGTATGGGACAGTAGTTAATGGATGGTTTGGTTTCTACGCGAGTAGTCCGTGCCATGACCTCTTCGCCGTCGCCGACACGGTCCAGATACGACCGGCCGGGTTCGCCGTCTTCATCGGCCCCGGCAACCCACGGCCACGCGGGAGTCGGGTCAGCAGACCGACTTGGTTCCTTCGGCCCGGCCGGCAGCTTTTTCAGAATCAGCCACTTTCACGTGATATGTTTTTCATAGAACCTTACACAATGCTTTTGGCTTTCAGCTTTCTTCTTTTGCAAATGGGAGCAAATAAAGAATATTTTGATAGTCATAGTTATTTCAAGGCAGACAAAGAAGAGTTGTTCCCATAGTTGTTTCCAAGGCAAACCCATCTCGCTGCCTTCTCTGGGACCGGGTGCGGCAGCCTCCAAGGCGACGTCTGCATCGTCGTGCTGCTGAGGTCCCGCTCCATCCGACCCGCCGTCTTCCCCCGACGACGACTCCAACAACAGCAACGACCCGCTGTTCGCTGGCAACGGAACGGAGGTCACTCGGGTCCCTGGAACGATCTGGCGACCACGATGCACCGCCAGACCAGTCGCTGGGCCCAGCTGGTCATCGTGGGCCACATGTCCAGCCCTCTGCGCTCGTGGACCGGTCCAAGGGCCTACGGTCATTTGGGCGTGAGCCGGGCGGCAGACCGACTTGGTTCCTTCGGCCCGGCCGGCAACACGCGGGAGCAAGTCAGGGCACGCGTCAGCGGAGCTACACGCACAGTGGCGCGGCGCCGCCCTCTCCTCCTCCATTCCGTTCATCGGCAGGACTCCACGAACCAGAAATGTGTTCGCGTGATCGTATGAGCTATGTTTATCAATTATGATATAGTATTTTTCTCTCACGATAAAACAACATCAGCCGACTTATAAACCACATAAACGATCAAGCGAATAGGTGCGAGCTCGACGGATCATTCGTACGGCTAACTATGAATCCGTCGAGTAGAAAATTATTTGAAATATCGGAGGGATTTCACTCGGATTCTCTGTACGAGAGGGGCAGAATTCATTCCCATGACAAAATCTGGCTCCGAATCAATTCTCGTGTTATTCACTATTCAGGTTCGTCTGACCTGCTGTACGAATAGAAAGGGAATTCCGAGGCCTTTTTCCTCTCATAGAAATAAATTCATAATATTTAGTATTTTTTTTTAAGAAATGGATTGGGATACGTGCCAGGGACGAACCTTCCGGATGCGGCCACGTGCCTGCTCCGACGTCCGCGTCACTGACCTCTATATATACGGGCGCCGAGCGCGAGCTCGGCTGCACATCCACTCCACAAGGCAGCTGCTGCTTGATGTGTACGTAGTCGGCGCCTGCTGCGGCGACGCGAGCTGAGCGATCCTGACGAGCGAGCTGCCATGTCCACCAGCGAGAGCGTCAGATGGCGGGGATGGGCGACGGCACCAGCAGGACGCGTCCGTTACCGGAGCCGCTCCGGCTGCCGCTGCCGCCGGCGCGGACCACCTTCGTCGACGGTGGCCGCGCTTCCGGTTCCCCCGTGGCTGCTGCTGCTGCAAGGACGGCGGAGGCGACGGAGACCCCGCGGTACTCCGTCGCCTTCAGCGTGCCGGCGTCACCGTCGGGGCTGCACCTCGGCGCGTGCGCGTCCGTCCGCAGCGTCGCGCCGCCACAGCCGGCGGAGCACCAGCACCAGGACGCGGTGGCGGCGCCGCTGCCGCAGCTGCTGAACCAGGCGCGGTACCACTCGCAGCCGGCGCTGACGATCCGGACCGAGGAACCCCGCCGCTGCAGCGAGTGCGCACCGTGTCGCGCAGCGACAGCACGCGCGACCGGCGCTTCGACCACTTCAAGACCTTCTCCGGCCGCCTGGAGCGCCAGCTGTCCAACCTCCGCGGGGTGGCCGTGGACATCGAGCCCGCCGCCGACGACTCCAACTCCAACAAGATGATCTCCGAGGAGGAGACCGACGGCGGCGGCGGCGGCCGCGAGGTCCCCACGGCGGACCGCTACTTCGCCGCGCTGGAGGGGCCCGAGCTGGAGACGCTGAGGCCGACGGAGGTGTCGGCGCTGCCCGAGGACGAGACGTGGCCGTTCCTGCTGCGGTTCCCCATCAACGCGTTCGGGATGTGCCTGGGCGTGAGCAGCCAGGCCATGCTGTGGAAGACGCTGCAGTCGGAGCCGTCGACGGCGTTCCTCCACGTGAGCCCCGCCGTGAACCACGCGCTCTGGTGGGTCTCCGCGTCGCTCATGTCCCTCGTCTCCTTCATCTACCTCCTCAAGGTCGTCTTCTACTTCGAGGCGGTGCGGCGCGAGTTCCACCACCCGATCCGCGTCAATTTCTTCTTCGCGCCGTGGATCGCCTGCCTCTTCCTCGTCAAGGGCCTGCCGCACCCGGTGACGGACATCAACCACGTCGTCTGGTACATCCTCATGGCGCCCATCCTACTTCTCGACCTCAAGATCTACGGACAGTGGATGTCCGGTGGCGACCGCCGGCTGTCCAAGGTGGCCACCCCAACCAACCACCTCGCCGTCGTCGGCAACTTCGTCGGCGCGCTGTTGGGCGCCAAGATGGGGCTCCGTGAGGTGCCCATCTTCTTCTTCGCCGTCGGGGTGGTGCACTATCTGGTGCTGTTCGTGACGCTGTACCAGCGGCTGCCCACCAATGCGCAGCTCCCCAAGGAGCTCCACCCGGTCTTCTTCCTCTTCATCGCCGCGCCCAGCGTCGCCTCCGTCGGCTGGGCGAGGCTCTGCGGCGAATTCAACTACGCCGCCAAGATCCTCTACTTCACCTCCCTCTTCCTCTACATGTCACTGGTACGTGTACATCTATCGTCTTCTCTTCTCTTCCTGACACACGTGATGTATATGTACAACATGCATGTGCTGACCGTGTATGTACGTACGTATACAGGTGGTGCGTATCAACCTGTTCAGGGGCGTCCGCTTCTCGCTGGCGTGGTGGGCGTACACGTTCCCGATGACGAGCGTGGCCATCGCGACGGCGGTGTACGCGTCGGCGGTGACCAACGTGCTCACCCGGGCGCTGGCCGTGGGGCTCTCCGGGGTGGCGACCGTCACCGTCGCCGGCGTGCTGGTGACCACCGTGTACCGTGCGTTCGTGCGCAAGGACCTGTTCCCCAACGACGTGTCCATCGCCGTCACGCAGCGGCCCAAGGCCAAGTTCGGCAAGATCCTCGCGCACATCCGTGCCTCCGGCGACGGCGTCAAGGACCTCGTCTTCGCCGCTTCCAGGCACGGCGGCACCTCCGAATCCGACACCAACAGCGCTAGCGAGTCGCCGTCGCCCATGGCGCGTAGCCGCCGCAGAGCAGAGCCGTAGGCCACCATGCATCGATCTCCAAACAATTCTTTAGGGGGTGTTTAGTCGGTGAGTTTGAAAATTTCTAGATGTCACATTAGATGTGTCGAAAGAATGTCGGTAGGGGTTTTTGATACTAATAAAAAAAACAAATTATAGAACCCATCAAGAAACTGCGAGACGAATCTAACGATACTAATTAATCGGCCATTAGCACATGTGGGTTACTGTAGCACTTAAGGCTTTTCATGGACTAATTAGGCTTAAAAGATTCGTCTCACGATTTCCAACCAAATTGTGCAATTAGTTTTTTTTCGTCTACATTTAATGCTCCATACATGTACCGCAAGATTCGATGTGACATTTTAGGTTGAAATTTTTTGCAAACTAAACATGGCCTTATATCTCATCTACTTGTCTGTACAGGCTTCAGGTCGACTAGCAGTAGTTCTTGAATTTCCCATGCATCCGTGCAGCAGAGATTCACTGCAACAGCACAACACGTAGGGAGAGGTGCCTGCCGGGATTGGCAGCGATAAATGTGTGTCCTCTGAGCGATTGCCATGACAAGGATGCAATCGCGGGATGACACTAGTTCAATTGCTTTTTTTTTTGAATTAATATCTTGCCAGCTTATATTTGTTACACACATAATAGTATAGGTTAATGAGTCATGACTGATTTTATATGTATATTATCATCCACTGAGGTCTTTGTAAATCTCGGGCACTGCACTGTTTGCCATTCTCGTCACAAACATTTCACATATATATCTTTGCCGACCTTGCTAATGCATGCTCTGGTGTATTGCCATTTCGGCAACCACGCTAAACTTCAAATTTTGGTAAGATTCCTTCTCCTACTGCCCAATGTGGCTTATTGCCTTGGCAATGGTTGGGGTAGACTAAAAATGCCAAGCTAGTAAGGCTTGGTGACAAAGACTTGTGCTCAACGCTATTTCCTTGGTAGACTAAAAATGCCAAGCTACCGAGGGAAATCATCTAGCCTTTGCCAAAAAAAAAAAAAAAAAATCAGATCTTGTATGGCTCCTTGCTGTACGGAGGAGCCGGACCTGATGAAGCAAAACATAATGGTTTGGTTGGCTCCTAATTCAATTTAAGATAAGAGATAAAAAATGATTTTTCGCTACAGTGCACAAAAGAAGCCGAAACAAGAGTCCTCCACAGTTCTACCTGACCGGGCTTTAATTTCTTTTAGAGGCTTCAAGTAACTGACAAAAATGAAAAAGAAAAGGATTGCTGGTATGTGGTATACTGGTGTCCTGTAAAGCTTGCATTTTGTAAGAAACCTTTTCCGAGGAACACCTTTTTATTTTTTGCTTTTCGAAATAGCTGGAACCTTGTTTTTTTTAAGAAGAACCTTTTTGGCTTTGCACTTGGCCTGAGGTTTTACGCATGGATTTAGCTACTTTTGACTTTGCGTTTGAAAGTTAGGATGACTTAGCTTTCCATTCAATGTTTATCCCCAAAAATAAAATGTACATATTTGTGGGCCTTTTGTACACATGTACTAGTCAGCCCAGTACGATCGGGCCCATTATTACAAACCTAGTTTTGGTTGGTTCCTTCCGTTGGGTTTCATTGGCCTCCGCCCGGACGCGACGCCGTAGACAATGGACCCAGTTTTTACGGTACATGGCGTCATCAGCTTTGCACAATGCAAATCTGATGTTCATGGCGTCAGCCTTGCTAAGAGGAATAAATACCTCTTGAGGCCGATTCAAATCACATTGCGGTAGGTGCTAGATCGTGGAGAGACCGCACACAGCTTAGTACGCAGCGGGGAGAGGTCTAAATGGTAAGGTCGACTAGTAGGTCGAGAGCTAATTTGATGTTTGTTCGTCACCCGCTAAACCCACGAACGCTTCCAAAAAGACCCGTCAGGAAGACGTACAAGAGCGGTGTCCTAAAATCGGCAAGTGACCACCTAGGACATTCATAAACCCTTTCGAGAGATAGGTAGGACAGCAAGAGGGTTGGAAAAAGATAATAAGGGGGTAAAAAGTGGGTAGACTGATAAAATATTGAGTGTATAATTGGATACATCAATCGGTCGTGTGCCCTATATATATTTTTATATTGAGTAGGGGATGTCTTGTCCTGTTAGAAAGCCAATGAGGTACAATTCATGTTGTTTCGTAGTGTTTTCCTTGAATTGGACCAAAACTGGCATGCACCAATTCTAAAAAATGTATGTCGGCATGTCACCGAATCAAACAACCTCTGGTTTATTTTATAATAATAATTAGAGTCTATTTGGTATAGCTTCTTCTACTTTTGTTTTTTTAGAGAATAATTATCTAAGAAAAGTAGTTATGTGGCTAGATGTGATTTTGTGAAATAAATTCTATGTAGAAAATAATTTTACCTCGGAAGATAATGCGTTAAGCTAGGTTTTTTCAGCTCTGACCTCCTAGTTCATTTCATATAATCATTTCCCAGAATCATTATAGGTTCATTTCTCTACAAAATACTGTTTGATAGAGTTACTTTGGATCCAGCATAGAAGTTGCTTTGGGAACTCTCCCAATAGACTCTTAATAAGGCCTTGTTTGTTTCTCCCTCATAAACTTTAGTCCATGTCACATTGGATGTTTAGACAAGTATTAAGTATAGACTAATTACGAAACTAAATACATAGATTGAGACTAATTTTACAAGACGATTTTTTTAAGCCTAGTACTCAGAGAAGCGCCGAGCCAGTTCGTCGAGGATGACCTGGGTGTCGGCCAGGGTTCATCGCTCCCTGGCCCTGCCTGCGTTTGAATCTGTGTAGTGAAGATGTGGTGGAACGCGATCTAGGATCGGACTCGGAGAATCACCCACAAATTGAACCAGCAATAGAGGGGAATTACAGGCCATGGGATAAATTAAATCTTGTTAAAAATTAATCACTGACGAGCGTTGAAATCTGCTGACCTCGTCACAAGGACTCGCAAAACACACGCCCACTGCAGCAAACGCAAAAACACAAATGAAATGAAGATTTTGCAACCTTTTTTTTTTTGAGACTGCGAGAGGTTGCGAATTACCCTTTCGAAAAAAGAGGTTGCGAATTAAAGGTCCAGCCCAACAAAGAGAGCGAGGCAATATGACTGTTGTCGTGACCCAGGGACTTGTTGGCTCGGCACTGGCCCAATAATCGAATAAAACCAATGCGGCCCGGTCCGATTCCATCCGTGGTGGATGGGCTGCAAATGCAGTCATGTCTGGGCCTGCGCGCACCCAGTGCTGCTAGCTCTAGCTGATGGGCCTGAGAGTTAAAACAACAGGCCCCGAAATTGTGTCGTAACCAGGTTGTAACGACTAACGACCCATATACGACATAATATCTAACGACAACTTGGGTTTCTCAAAAAAAAAAAATCTAACAACAACTTGTTTAAAACAAACAGCTTGCATTTCCCTAACTTGCAATCTTTATTATATAATATTATTACTAATTGAACCCCCTAATTTTACAGTAATGCTTCAGTCAGGGCGTCCGTCCTCCCGGACGTTCCTTGATGGGCCTGCGCGCTACTGCTACCGGCCCAATAGGCCTGCCTGCTCTTTGAGTCTCATCATCTCTCTCAAAAATATATTCCCACTCCGCTCGCCCATCGCGTGCTTCACGGCACCGTGCGGCCATCCGTTCGCCCCGATCCGCATCGCTGCTGCGGCCATCTCCTGGCGCGTGCCCCCATCCTACGCACGTCGCACCAGTCTTCCTCGCCTCCGTGACCATCTCCCCCCGCGCGCACCCATCATGCGCCGCGCCAACCACTTTGCCTGGCCGCACGGTTATCCACCGCCGCACCGTCCCCTCTGCCTCGCCGCACGGTTATCCATCGCTAAGTCGCCCACTCTGCCTCGCCGCCACGGCCATCCACCACCGCGCCCCACTCCGCGCTCGCCTATCGTGACCACGGTGAGCACCACGCCACCACCACGACCCCGACCCCACCGGGTGAAGGTCGTCGCCTGCTGGGACATCGTCTACCGCGGTTGGCCAAAGACACCACGACAGAAAGAAGCGCATGTTGCAAGCGTATGTTTCAAAGTGTTTCAGATGTTTCATAGGTATGTTGCAAGTGTTGCATATGGATGTTGCAAAAGTAGATCAGGATGTTGCACATGTTGCAATAGATATAAACGTATATTGCAAGCGTTTGTTCGAAATGTTTCATCTATTTTTCATATGTTTGTTGCAAGTATTTGATCTGGATGTCGCATATGTTTTCACACATATGTTGCAAGCGTTTGTTCGAAATATTTCATCCATTTCGGATGCATGTTGCAAGTATTTTATCTGTATGTTGCATTTGTTCACACAGATGTTGCACGCGCTTGTTCCAAATGTTTCATCTAATTCAGACGTACCATCAAGTTTTTTTGGTTTTTTGTGTTAAAGAGTTTTCATGTTTCAAGCGTTGAATGGAATGGCCAGAGTCACATAGCCCACATCTGCGGGTAGGGGTGCGAGCGTGATACGGAGCAGGCATAGGCGATCCCCGCATGCATGATACGGAGCGGGGCGTAGGCGGTCCCTGCCTGCACGCGACAAGCGGTATGGAAGCGTGCAGTTCCTGTGTGTGAGCGGGTGGTGCATGTAGGGCGAGGCTTGTAGGGCAATGCGGACACGGGAAACGAAGGAGGCTGCAGGAAACATAGATGCACGGGACACGGGGTGCAGCGCGCAGGCGTCTGGGCGCACATCTAGGCACTAGCATCTCCTTTAAATTTATGGTGTTATGAGAATAATATTATCGGGTTCATAAACCCAGGGTCCCTCGCAGACCGGCTTCCCAACAAAGGCTCGGCCCAAGCTGATAACGAGCAACTCATGGGCTGACCCAAGTATCGGAACGAGGGGCCAGAAGGGCGATCCAATCACCGACCGAAAGGCCTGGCCGAGGAGGAATGACGCCGGCTTTCCGACTCTGGCCCGCCTCTCCGACCAGAGCGCTCGCTTCGCTCTCCAGCCCGTCTCCGGACGGCCTCTCCGATCGGAAGGCCTGG